TCTATTCTGATTCAAATATAGGGGGGCATCTTCTATTTGTGAAAAGAGGAAAATGGGAGAGAAATATCATGAATCAACTGCTTTTCAAAAAATAGTGTGGTAAAGTGTTCAACCTTGAAACCAACATCCTGTAATTATTCGAGGGTAAGTCAGAAATTTTCTGCACTTTCTCCATAACACATCTTTAGGTTTGTCACACTGCCTCCTGTGCTTGCATTGTTAGAGTTGGTACTACTGTGGTCACGTGATCAAAGTTTTACCTTGATCACATCATTTTCCTTGATGCTGTGACAGTGTAAACATGGCCGTTCTGCTAGCAGTGTGCACCAATGATTAACAAAGAATAGTCATCCAATTTCTCTGATTGGAAGGTGTGTCAGGGGCTGAAATTCATATGTGGGTTCATCACTGAGCCAGAATCCAAAAGCCAGAGTATGGCGTGGAAACACCAGGGATCTCAAACGAAGATGAAATTCAAGACTCATTCTTTCGTGGAAAAGGTGATGCTAACCGTTTTTTGGAACTCAAAAAGGCCTATACTGTAAGACTACCTGGAAAAAGGGTGTACAATCAACAGTGCAAGATATAGTGATTTCCTGGCCAACAATATGAAGCCAGCAATTTGCACCAAACGCCGAGGCCTATTGTCGAAGAAAGTGTTGTTGTTGCATGACAATGAACACTCACACAAGGATGGCCAGACCGTTGAAACCATTAACCATTTGTGTTTCGAGGTGCTGAAACACCCTGCCTACAGCCCAGATATCGCCCTTTCCAACTATCATCTCTTTGGACCGCTCAAAGATGTTTTACAAGGTTTTTGATTTTCTACAGGCAAAGAAGTGGGGGAAGCGGTGCGTAAATGGTTACGCGACCAACCAAAAACCTTCTTCATGGAGGGAATACACAAGCTTTTGGACCGCTGGACCAAGTGCATAGAAAAGGGAGGAGACTATGTAGAAAAATGAAGTACTTGTTCAACCCCTACTTTTCTATATCTGGATTGGAAAAACAAGAGTGCAGATAATTTTTAACTTCCCTACGTACTTAACCTGCAGTAACATTAAAAACTCATGCAATTTTCCCATCATTCCAGGTGATTATTTTCCTAAACAACACTGTTTGTAATGCAGACACTCTGTGTCCTCTGCAGAATATGAAGTGAATTTTCAAACGTTATTATTTAGATGAACCTCAAGCTTCAAACATTTAAGGTACAACATGCTGTACTCACCAAACACCTGTATATAACTGAAGTTTTATTGTACTCTTCTTGCAAAGCATTAAAGCAACTTAGCAAATCAAAACTGATATTCCTGTATCCTCAACTGCACACAATGCCAACTTTATAGTGGCTATTGACTACTGGTCAGGAAACCCAAAGGAAATAGCCTCTTGGAAGACCAAGTCATAAGTGGGAGAATAATATCAAGAGGGATATTGTCATATCCCACGCTCCTTGGGGCGGGATCCCTCTTCGCTGCTGCGGGTGGACGCTGGAAGTAGCTGAGTGGTACTTCTTCTTGGGGTGCATGGGCTCTGTCAAAGAGTAAAAGCTCACGACAGTACTTCAGGCAAATAATGTAAAAAAATTAAGTAAAGCTATCCCTGTACAAGGACGTGAAGGCCCATAGGGCTCTGAGACGTTGAGGGTCCCACACTATCTAGACAATGATGGCGATAAGGTTGTCAGCCTTACGCACCGGCCGTGCTTTACTCCCCAGGAAAATTATTTAATTCCTGGTACTCATTTCTGTTAAAGGCTGAGGAAATCCCAGGGCCTAGCGTGGCTGGAAAGATTAGGTCAACTGAAAAAAATCCAATGACCTCAACGGGACTTGAACCCGCGACCTTCCGGCTTGTATATGCAGATTTATTTAATTCAAACTGGTTACACAGGATACATATGATGTGTGGACCAGGCCAGAGCACAGTTGAGAAATTTCTATGTCCTTGTTCAAGCACAGACTGACATGGAGACTACCCTCGACTGGATTCACGAAAGATGTTCCCCTGGATGCATCCAACACCGGGTTTATAAAGACCCACACACAAAGGAGGGTGATGCTGTGTCTTCTCACCTGTGCGTTCATTCCCACAACATGAATATGTAGTTACAAAAACTATAAATACTACCTTAACTCTAGCGACAGTCGGACAGCGTGGGATGCAGTCACCGAATCTAAGGTTCGTTTCCCAAATCTTTAATGTAAGAAGTATTTAGTTGTCACTGCACCCCCTGATATACAATCATGCAGGGGTGCTGTCCGTGAGACTGCCGGATACATAAGTTATCAATATAATGTGGCAACCCAAAAGGGGAAACCTTAGAGACATCTACTCTATGCTGTGCTAATGAAGTACAATACTCTACCGAATACAATACAGAACAATACAGAAATAAAACGGCTACACATACGGATTCCAATGATGCAGAAATCCAGAGGTTGTGTATAGAGATTTCACAAAAATAAGGAATCTTGGTTCCTGTGGCTATACAGAATGTCCCATAGCTATACAGAATGCTACAGGGTGAGAGGATGTAGACAGGACTCATCCAGCCCAGCTCACAATCTAGCAGCAGGTTCCTGTAAACATGGTATATGAACCAACAAGTTCCATACAAGGCACGAGTTCCATAACTAGCTAAGTACCAATGAGCTTCTCAAGGATTCTGGGTACACCAAACAAGCTAAAGGCTAGTGGAGAGAACATAACATTTACTATGTGCACTCTTTATCAAAAAATCCTGTTCTGAGAATAGAGAATTGTGTGTCCTAATACAGATCCTGGTGGGAAGAAGTAGGTTAAATATGCATGGGCACCAGCAGGAAAGTGGGGGGGAGAAGCCTGGTACAGCCCCACCCCACACTTTAAAACAACTGAACTTAAAAAAAGAAAGACATATTAAAAGTAAAAGATAAAATTATTTTTAAGAGTTGCAACATCTTTGTTTTACTACACGGAGCAACAACCCTATAACGATGTGTAAAATATTCTCAAATTACTTAAATAGTATATATGTAGGCAAAGTTTCTGGCTCCCCACCTCCACTGGAAACAATTCTGAGAACTCATGCACATATAATGTGAAAATTCCTAAGCACAGCAACAAATGCAAGTGGGTCTATATTTTGAAAATATGTACTATGTATATACAGGGTGTCCCAGGAGGAATGGACCAAACTTCGGGAGGGTGTTCCTTATGTTAAAAGTATGCCGATATAACCCAAAACACCTATGTCCAAAGTGCAACGGTTACAGAGATAATGGCCCGAGAAAAGTGTGGTCTTCTTGCAGGTCCACGCGCTATAGCTATCAGCTGAGACCCTTATCTGTTTGTCCTTGAGTGCTGTGAGTCACTAGCCGTAAGCTCTTGCGCTACCTACCAGAGCCTACAGATTACGTTGCGGCGGGGTCGTGAATGGGTGGTAAATTAGTTGTGTGATGAGTTGCTGAAATGCCTCGTGTTTTCACACGTGGAATATTGTGATATGCATTTTGTGTGTGGATTTTGCGGTCGCAATGCACGTGCTGCTGTTGAAGAATACCAAAGGCGTTTTCCCGATCGAAGGATTCCATCTCGAAGTGTATTTACGTGAATTCACCGGACATTGCGTGATACTGGTTCTCTTGCAAGTGTTTCTGTGCACTCTGAAAGGCAGGATGTACAAATGATAGACACACGAGAGCACATTCTTGATATTGTTCAGTGAAGTCCGCTTCTGTCACTCATAGAATCGCCTCTCGCATCGGCATATCACGTATTCAGGTGTGGCGAACTTTACATGATGAAGAGTTATTCTTACCATGATCAAATGGTACAACATCTGGAACCAGGCGACCATGCACAGCGTATGGATTTGTGCCACTGGATAAAAAGTTCATCCCGAACTGTTAAGCGTCATTTTATTCAGTGATGAGGCGTCTTTTACCCTGGATGGTGTAAATAATTTACGAAATGT